CAACCTTGATATCCAGCTTTCTTCCATTTCATCGTCGAGTGTCTCAGACATTCATGTGGAGCATGCATCTCACTTTTGTTTTGAGTTCTGCGCGCGTCAGTGCTTCAGACTAAAGTGCTGCAACGTGTTAGGTTGGCATCACCTCGGTCAACTAGCGAGTTGAAAAATAGCATTTCAAGTTCAACGATGAGAACGACAATTCATTGTTTGTTTAGCCATTTGGTTCACTTTTAATTTAAAGTTATACTGTAACTTGCATCTTAGCGTTTTAATTTAAAGAAGATATAAATCATAGAACTTTAGACAATGACGATAATTCAGACCCTGCAGAAACAATTTTTTCTCCCCTCGCCTCCCCTCCGGACAGTTGAAATTTCCTCTGAATTGTTATCTTAATTTCTCTGTGATTGTCTTGACTTTCATGAAATTGCATGGTTACAAAGAAGCTATGATCATTAAACTAGTGGATAATGATTTACCATTTCAGTACTATGTAAAAGGAACTTTATTAAGTGTATATACAGTTTTGTGGATGAAAAGAAGCATGCATCCACAATTTTTGGTAATAAATGCTGTTTTTCAGGTGGAAGAATGTGTATAATAATATTGGTGTAATATGTTTGTTGTCTTTTATCTTGCAGGAATTATTGGATACAAAATATCACAAAACATGGGATGTACAAGGCATTAAAATGCAGATGGCAATCATTGATGGATTTTCTGGGGGTGGGGGTGTACCCCCAATAGTATCTTCACCACCTCAGAAGCTTTTCCACCACAGAAATTTAAATGCTGGTTTGATTAAAATTATGACAGCAGTATAATTGAACAAGAATTTTGAACTAAATAAGGCTAAAAAACAAGGCCAATATTCTCGAAATATCCTGGGGTCATTGCCCCCAACCTTACCCCAACTGTGTCCCCACTAGTGACTGTACCCTCAGACTCTGCTGCATCTTACTCAGCACAGTGAGCACACTACGTGCTCCTTGCTCACTTTTCTGCACACCCACACTCCCCAAGCAAAATTTGAAAATCTGTCTATGATGGTGATGATAATTAACTTATAAAAGTATAAACCTTTATTATTAAGTTAATTAAAGAATCATTGTCAACTACAATGCATTGCATGCTATTACAGTATTACTTGAAAGCCTTCAAGGGTGGATCCAGCAAGGTTTTTCTAGGGGATGCTGGATGAGCAGCCAAGTGTTTCTTTATAATTTTTTAGGGGGTGGTGGGAGTGAAACGACTCAAGCACTAAAGGCGCAAGCTCCCTAGGGGGTTGAGGGATATGCCCCAAGAAAATTTTGAAAATTAGATCTGTAGAAATGCTATTTCCTGTGATATGGACATTGAATTATGAGCTTCAGTTTGACTTCAAAAAAGGGAAAACCTTGGAAATTATGCCATGTTTCTGAATTTGATTTTATTGCACCCCTGTTGACCAAGGCCAACAGGGGTGTGCACCCTCCTCATTAATCCACCCCTGAATTAAGTTAACACATACTCCACTACATCATGTATACTTAATTACAATAATTTTAGTGTTAATTTAAAATTATTCACTGTTAATAATTTTACTGTATTGAAAAGTCCAATTAAAATAGTTCAAAATGAATCCAGCTTTTGTGTCTTCAATTTCCATACATCTTGCTTGTACTGTATTTTGCCTGCCCTACTTTTACTTGTCAATGGGAGAGCCACTCCATGGGTTAACTAGGAAACCAGAGTGAGTCAGGAGAAATGCCAGATTATGATATCCCAATTGTGAGATAATTCTGGAATAAACAAAAATATATTATATGTTGTAACTTTGAGCACAAAAATGATGATGGAAAAAACAAAACGATGCGACTCAACTCCAAACCAGAGACACCAGAACCATTGGTGCAATTATCAGGCTTAACCCATTGAGCCGCAATGCGCCCCAGCGTGCCCTACTTTTTTTTACTTGTCTGACACCAGATGATTTTACTTGTCAATTGGGGAAGCTCTGCAGCTTAATGGGTTAACCAAAAAATCTGACAATGCCTCTAGTTAACACATTGAGCTGCAGTGCGCCCTACTTATTTTTTTAACTTGTTTAATGCCGGATGATTTTACTTGTCAATGGGGAAGCTCTGCAGCTTAATGGGTTAATAGTATAATAATCAAAAGTGGCCAGGGATACAAGGTACCTTCCCAGTGCAAGGGAAGCAACATACAGTAGTTACAAAGTAATTGCCAGATTGCCATCCAGTATCTGGTGTTCCAAATTGTTAAACCCATTAAACTGCAGAGCTTCCCCATTGATGAGTAAAATCGTCTGGCGTTAGACATTAGTAAAAAAAATAAGCAGGGTGCACTGCAGCTCCCAACATGTTGTAAATGGCCAATGTAATATCTTTTCATCACACAGCAACATTTTCTTGGGGGAAGGGGGTATATATAAGTTATATACAGGTATTTTGGGAAATATTTGAGTACTCCAAAAGTCTTGTCATTGACATTGATTAGCCTTGTATGCAAACTTGGCACATATTACACAAAACCTGAATATATTTAAACACATACGTGACATACCGTTTGCTTTGAAGGAACGTCTGGAGTTAATAGCATTTTCTAAAGTAATTTATAAATAACAAAAAGTTGTAGTTTCTGCAACCAAATTTTGAAATATACAGATGCCAAATTACACCAAAAAAACAGCAAAAGGCTGTTTTCTTAACAAAAAGAGTGCATTTCATCGTCAAGCTTAAGTTAAGCCTACCAATTTTATGTGAGATAAGATAAAGCATAAATAAAATTGAATGAAATAGGTCAAATACCTGTTTATAGCTCGCTGATTCAAATGTCCTTAATTTTGGCTTTGCTCATATTTTGCGAGGACAGCGAGGTTTGAATTTTGTTTTCTTTCCCGGGAAGAATAACACGCACGACTTGCACATCTTTGAACCAATAACCGAATTTAGAAAAAATATCTCGAAAACAATTTTAAAATCGAGTCAAATATCGAGAAAATACTACAAAACCCGAGCAAAATTGCAAAAACCTAAAGTTTTTTAAAGAAAACCAGGGGGGGGTGGAAATTGTAGCGGGCTCAGATCCGAGCCTGGTCAGTGGTAATTACCATGAGAAATACGGACCAGTTGTCATGGAAATGGCGTCAGCAAAGACCGAAATCCGCCATGTTTTTGGCTTCACTTTTTTTTCCCGTGCAGGTCCTCCAGTAATATAGTATAGCTCAGTGGTCAGCACTCGTAAAATTTCGGACAAAATATCGTCTGAGTGACACTTCTGGTCCTGTATCTATTCTGTGGTTTTGTTTTGCACAAGCAGTGTTTCCACTTTTCAAAAACTGAAATTTCCTTCAAATTTTCAAGAAGGAAATTTGCGAATCGATTTTCCTGTCTAATTCGAACCCTGTGCCCACGAGGAATGCCGGTCTTACCGTCTTAGTAGTCATTTATACCCTGGAAAATTTCAATAGTGGCCATTTTGAATTGTTTAATTTTCCCAGGCGATGACTATTAAGACCACTAGCTCAGTGATTAAGACCAGCATTCCTCGCGGGCACCAAGCCTTGTGACGTCATTATGTATAAGGTCTATTAGGAGCAAATATGGCAACAAATTTTCTTTATTTTGACTGGAAATTATTACTTTCAAGTTAATATTATTGGCTCTCTCGCTTCTACAATACAGTATGACATAATAGGGCCATTTATACGGAACAAAATAAGTCGCGACTTACATAAGACGCGTCTTATATAAGCTGAGTTATGTATAAATGGTTCTCCAGTCTTATTTACTTGTTATAGCTATAAGGCCATATAAAAAAAAATAGTTGGTTAGCGTCCTTGGCTTTTGCCAAAAAGTGGGCGGGCGGGCGCTTTTTTTTAAAATTTTTACTAATTTTTAACGCCTTGGTTTTACTCACTGTTAGATCCGAAACTGGATTTTCTTGCGCAGTACAGATATTTTTTTATATATTTCAAAATATAATTCATACCGTCATTTTCGCACGCAATTTCGCAAATTATTAACCCAATTGACCATTTGCGTAATAGACTAAATTTTGAACTAAACAAGTCTAAACAAAAATTTCATCACAGCTTGAAGGAGCATCACAAAATTAGTAATATTCCAAAGTTTCGTTGCAAAATGTTGTAAAATGCGGAAAATATAGCCTTGCGAAATTTGCAATTTTCAGTCATTTTAGATTACAAACGGGAAATTGACAGCCCCAAACCCTTCGAGGCTGTCAATTTCCGGGTTGTAATCTAAAATGACTGAAAATTGCAAATTTCGCAAGGCTATATTTTCCGCATTTTACAACATTTTGCAACGAAACTTTGGAATATTACTAATTTTGTGATGCTCTTTCAAGCTGTAATGAAATTTTTGTTGAGATCAAAATTTAGTCTATTACGCAAATGGTCAATTGACTACAGTCAACAGAAATACTACATATATTAGAGCCCGTTGATCAATAAAAATCGGGTTTTTTTAAAATAAAAAATAAAAAAAAGTCCTGAGCGGGGCCTTTTTTGTGGGCGGGCGGGGACGCTAACCAACTATTTTTTTTTATGTGGCCTAATGTTGTTTTGGTTGTTTTTGTTTTAATATGCAAGGCTAATAATTTTACGTTGTTTCAAGTTTCGGGCATGTGTAATTAAGCTTTTTATCCAAAATGTCTTATTTAAGACGCGACTTAAATAAGAACAGCTAAAAATCCTGTTCTTATTTAAGTCGCGTCTTATCCAAAACGCGTCTTACATAAGAATTTTGTACCTTTTATACGACAAACTCGCGTCTTATTTAAGTCGCGTCTTACGTAATACGCGACTTATTTTGTCTCGTATAAATGGCCCTATTGTCTACAACCAGCCCCCTTCATTGTAGAGTATTGTGACCTTCCCATGATGCAACGAGGGCCTGCAGAGGAGGCAGGTAGAGTATGCTCATTCCTGGATATATTATCTAGTTTCCTATTCCACATGACCGAGGCAGCTCCCATGGCCAGTCAAGAATCACACGTCACTCACATCATGAACCACACTTGGCTAGCATGATGCCAGAAGCTTTTAAATTATGGGAGGAAATTGAACAAATGGCCAATACCAAGTTGTTTATGTGAGTTGGATTGTTACTTTCAAAATGGTCCTCAAGTTGCCTCTCTAGTAACCCCCCCCCCCTTTCCGACATACCTTGCAAAGTGCCTGAAATAAATAAAATAGCAGATTTACACAGAGCACATAATGTCATCTAATATCCATAAAGCCTGGTTTGTGCTGGGTTGAGCAGTTGCAAGCATGTAATATGAGGATTTGGTCGGCTTTCAGGGTACTAATTAAGTCTAAACACAGTTAATAGACTGAGTCTTATTGTGGTCTAAGGCAATCAAGATTAAATTGTATGAGGATGGCTATGTGCCAGACTGTAAACAACTAAACCCTGACAACCATGACTTGTCTATTACCATTAGAGGATTTACCCCTCTCTAATAAGCCTCATTCCCAGTTTGTCTCCTGTATGTTCATGAGAAGTTGATACGCCTTCCCCCTTCATTACTAAGAAACATGATTGTGTAGTGATTAGGTCTTAGCCCTCCTCCCCGCACCCAACACCCCTTCTCAAATAAAACTTCTCCAAAACATGGCTGAAATAAATAAGCCCTAGCTACTATTAATTATTAGCAATTGTGGCTATCTTTGTATGGAGGACTGTCCATATACAACACTTAACCAGATTTTGGCAAACTTCAAGGCGAATGGTATCACAAATGAACTGCTCAATGCAAAACAACTGAAAGAGAAATATAATTTTGATTTTCCTGCGAGTGTGAAAGGACTTTTTGAAAGAACTGGGGGGATTTTACTGGCGAACAAGTGTCTTCGAGCGCTACAGGTAATAACAAAAGTATTTCCATAAACAGGCAATGCATGGGTCACACGTTAGAACAGTGCTTGCAGTTTGACTCTACCAAACATAGCAGCCTAGCAGGTACTGTATCTTTCAGGAACTCTGGTTTCGTTCTGCACTGACACCGAACCATTAAACATGAAGGTTTGATTCTTACAAGATCTTTGTAAAAAAATCTGTTTAGAGGGAACTGAACTGTTAGTGTATTAGGTTGTAGTAATCACTAACTTTAGAACCCTGTAAACAACTAATCATAACTACTGAAACACGTGTAATGCCTCATTGTCTTGAAAGTTTCTTTAGTTGTTGTCATATTTGTTAGGACCAGTTTGTAAAATTTGGTGGTGTTCTTCACGACAGTGAGAAAGTGTTAGAAATAATGCCTGGTGATATAGTGAAAGTAAAGACAAACAAAGGATGCTACAGAACTAACAAACTCATTTTAACACCAGGTAACAGAAGAAAGTTGCGGATTGAAAGGGATTCAAGTACCTGAAAAATACAAGTCAAACTTCCACGTTTTACTTCCACGTTTTCCTTGTATTTTTTTACTAACTTCCCGACCCTTTCAACCTGCAGCTTTCTGGCTCAGACCGTTCTAGACCGATAACAGGACCCTGTAAAAAGTAACATTTAGAAGCATTGGATGAAGGTTCAAACACGTAAGAAAAATATTGTGACTTGAAAGATTTTTTTGCTGTTCACTTGGTTGAATTTGAAAGCTGGTTTTGGTGGGTATTCGAAACCCAGCTTTCCACCACCAAAACCACTAAACCAGCTTTCAGGGGAAAATATTACATTAACTGGTGTTTGTAGGAACAAGCACACCAAATAAAATTAGTGTGTAAGTTGTTCTACTTATTAAATTTAGTCCTCGTTTCTTAGGTCCTTGGGCGCCATCTTTACTAAAGTCGCTGGGAGTTGATCTGCCATTACGAGTAAGTATATATATATATATATATATATATATATATATATATATATATATATATATATATATATATATATATATATATATATATATATATATATATA